GCCGCCGAATTCTGCCATGGCAACGAGCTACGATAGGTATGAGGATGCGAAATGCCTTAACAGGTGTGGTGCAGAAAAAATGTATTCATGTGAGTGTGTCTTGGGCTGGAAAAGGTTGGGAAACACTGCCCTAGTATAAGAAGACCCTGTCTCAGCCACCACACTTAAGTGTGACAGCTAACGCCAATAACAATTCTCCTTTTTCTAGGTGCTGAGGATCTCTATCCAGCTCTAATGGCTGCTGGGAGAGGAAGGGGCTTTAGGACATTGGTGGGAGGGAGCAGGTGATGGGCAGGAGAGTAGGGGAGGATAGGGCGGGGGAGGTGATGGGAGTGGGATGGGTTTTGGGTGCATAACAGAGGTGGGTGGGTGGTTAATCCGTACTCCTTATAACCATCTCCACCCATGTCCCCTGCCCCTTCCACAACTGCAGGTAACTCGAGTGGCTCTGAGGAAGCCATGTGTCCCAGGGGGCCCCCTGCCACCGTGCTGCTGATGTTCCTCATGCTGACCCTGATGTCTTCCAGGCCGATCGTGGACAGCAGGGAATCACAAAACGACACATTCCAGAGGCAGCACATCGGCGAGCTGTCACACCCGCCCTTCAGTAATACCTGCTGCAACACGAGGTTGAGGAGACAGAAGATGACCACTCCTGCAAGCAAGCCCTGCAACACCTTCATCCACATAGATTTATCAACAGTAAGAGCAATCTGCACACGGACCGGGACTCAGAGGCCCAACAACAGGTATTACAGCAATGATAGCTTCTGTGTCCCCGACTGCAAATTTATAAGAAAGGACCCACGACAAGGCGGTGTGTACTGTGCAACCACTGTCTCCCAGAGGATTTCTATAACCTGTGAGCAAGTCCAGGGAGCTGGACTGGTGCCTGTCCACTATGGCAAATACAAAGAGTGCTTCCCCTAGTAGCCTGTGGTCGGGCAGGCGTTGACACCGCTGCATCCTTCAGCTTTCTAAATCTACTTTTCTGCAATATAAAGCCATTGCTTCTCATCTGACCTGCTGCAGCAAGGAAGAAAAAATGTTCTTTTTTATGGCAGCCTTGTAGTAGCCAGAAGCAGAGGGGTTAGTATCATGAGCAATAAATATATGCTCTTGGAGACATCCAGGCAAGTGTTTAGTATTTAAGATTAGCTAATGCAAAGCTTGCAAGATTGCAACCCACAAGTGGAATTTGTCTGTCACAATTTAACCAAAGTCTTGAATGTAACTGTTCGCACTGATCTTGAGACTGACTAGGTCCCCCAAAAAAACCAGACTACAAGATTAGCTGATCTAACAGGTTTTTTAAAGGTCAGCCGTAACAAGATCTAACCACCTAACATAATTAGCACATTCCTAGGAATCCAAGGAATGAGAAACCAAGGGGTTGAGCTTGGGCAGGTAATGCTAATTTCAAACCTCAAAGTAATGTGGTGTAATTTGCTTATTGAGTGAAACCGAGTTCAAGCGGTAACCTTACATGATAATTTCTAACACCTTTTGACCCAATAGGGTAACAGCTCTAGGGCAAGACTGTGAGTGGCTCTAAAGCCAACAGATTAGCATAAGGTAAGGCATAAAGGAATGCGCGTGTCAAGTGACCAGTTAGAAGGACAGGACAGAAGGACCATCGCTGTACCAAGCCTGGACCCCAGACTCCCAGTGTTAGCGCGGGCCACATCGTGACCAAGGTACCTTCCCGGTGACCCCTTGGGCAGTGTTGACTGGGGACGCCTGACTTTGCTGGAACAACTTGTCATGCACCTGGCATAGAGGGACTGCCCATAAGTTGTCAACCCCATGTGGGAACTCTTTGTCATTCTGTCTATCTGTTGTTATCATTCACTATTAGCTCTTTATCACTGTACTATCTGTTTGTCGCAGTAACCTTTCTGTTAACTGTTGTATGCTAAGCTATAAGTAAATTTGCCTTGACTTCACTCCCAACTCGCCTTCTCAATCCTGAACCCAGCAGACTCACAGCTGATACACTCACAGCGCCTAGCTGTCCTGTGACACAGCCTTACTTGAAGGTTGCTGCCATGTGCCCCCTTAGTCACCTTTCCTCCAACTTGAGCTATTCACTAGTTGATGTCTGGAAAATGCCTTGCAATAGGAAATGTCTCGAATTTCTCCTTTTGACAGCCTCCCATTGCCCTGCTTTCTGTGTCAGGATGCTCCTGATACCCGGAAACTTTGACCCTGAGAAAGTGACTGATGACCCAAAGGAGGACAAGGATGAAGCGCAGCAAAATATAAACATTGGGCTTGAGAAAATCAGACTTGAGGAGCCTCAGAGAGCTGGTGGGCAGGATCCCAAGTGAAGCGAGGCTACAATCAAGCACTGTCCTTACAGATTGTTCAACAGGCGCCTTTGTCACCTGGGATCAAATTATAACCAGTCAAGCTAAAAAAGGACACTTAATCATTCATAATCATGGTGGGCCTCACCTCGACCATGAAGTGTCAATGTAAATTCAACATAAACCCTGCCAAACATCAGTCTGGACAAGATGGTTGCAACACAGTCTTGTAGCATCTAAGGACTTCAACAAGATCTTCTGAAAAACCAACGGAGGCCACAAAACTGGCAATTCAGAGGAAGCTTCTCCTGGTCCCTACCTGTTTTTATTGCTTTCGAGTTCAATCATGGGCAGGTTTAAATACTAAATCAGTGTTGGAAGGTACCGCGCTCCTGGAGAAGACAGAAGAACTCCAAGGTGATCGGAGGGACTGGGATAGTCTACATTAAAACAAATTTAGCCTCTTCTGGGGATACTTATATATGGAGCCTTATGCAGCCATGTGAAAGCTTACACGATACACAGCCCCTCATTGGTCAGCAGCCATCTATGAGGTAGGACGTGGTCACCTAGATGTCATAGTGGTGCTTACATCACAAAGGCGGCTGGCTCACCTCTGTCCTGGGTGCTGGACCTGGCGGCTTGAGTGGCTCTGGACACCTTAGCGATAGGAACTGCTCAGCGAGTGAGAGAAGGAAAGCTTGTTTAAGTCATTTTTGACCAATGGAAGACATCAACCTGACCCTAAATGGCAGAGGTAAGACCCCGTGGTGTTCTCCGTGCCTAATATCTAGTCCCACACCCATTCTAGAAAGCGCAAGGAATAGGCAGGTCAGTGAAAACCAGCTTTTTAAGAGGCAGATTTTCAGTTGTGCAAACCTGTGTTACTTGATGGCCTGGACTGTAGCTTGAGTGATTGCTACCAGGGCAGGGTCCACCCTGACATGCCCCCGATCTTCGGAGACTGTGTTAGCTGTTCTGGGAAAGGCCTCCTTCCACCCCCGAGGTGTTTCTGACCCTGTTCCCCTTGCAGCCAGGTGGGTGGTGTGAGGTGTCTCCATACACATTACCTACGTTTAAGAACTAGGGCAACCTATAGGCGTTCTGGTTCGTGTTCTGATTAAGACCCGTTGGAGCAGGCCTAATTAATCGGGTCTTCCCTGTGCTCTAATTAAAATGCTCCAGCATTGCCTCACCAGCATGTGTATTAACTCCCACACCCTCCACATTTTAAAATGGCTATAGGGGTGCTTTAACTAAAGCTCATTGAATAAGCTTTAGTTAATGTGTTCCCATGGCCATTTTAAAATGTGGGGAATGAATACATGTGAGGATGAGCTGTTTTAACTTGAGTGGCTGTTGAGGAGCCACTCTAATTTAAACAGCCCCTCCCCATCCCCTGAATGTGTATGGGCAGCTTAACTTTCAACAACTTTGGCCCTAAGCAATCTTTGTGTGTGATCCCAATTCTCCAACTAATTGTCAAGGAGAAAAGACTGCCCTTATTTTCCTGAAAACAAAGGTCATTCACTTCCTCTTTCAAGTGGCTGGGCCGTTTTTGAAGCAAATCTTCTAGCATAACAGAGCAGGAATAGGAGAAAGGGGAAGGCTCATCTTCCACTCCCTGACCAGGTCTACTCTAGCCCCTCTGGCTGGTGCAGCCGTGGGCATCGCACCCGGGACTGATGAGAACAGATAACGCCCTTCTGCTGATGGCCAACACCAGAGCATTATCCCCATCCCACTGACAAAGAAGGGCTTTTTGGCAGAACTAAGTGGCACTAAGGAAAGTGCCTCTTTGGCAGTACCAGCTGCCTCAGCCCGGGAGGGCGGCCTGGAGAGCTCTCCTGCGGGTGCTGTGCTAGGAACCCTTTCCTTTGTAGCCAGGCCACAGGCTTTGGCTCCAGCAGGGCAGCTAGCGGGTGGTGAAGAAAGAGACCAGTGGTATATCTCACATGGAAATCAGCAAAGTCCCTTCTCCATGTCAGGTTTTTCTACTGGTGATGCCTCTGCAGGGAGAGGGTCTGGCCAGGCATCAGCCGAGCAGCTGGCCACTCCTGTGAGCCTTGTGCTGGAGCGTCTCCAGCGGGAGGAGGTCGGGCCGGTGCTCTGCACCACGCGGCTGCTCTGTTTCCTTCCAAGGCTGTGCAGGGCCGGGGCAACTAAAACTGGTCCTTGCCCATCTCCTGTGTCTTTTCTATTCCTTCTCTCCCAATACAAGGTCACAATACAACATGCCTTGTTCTATTGTGATGTCACTATGACATCAGGGCACGCTCACATGGCATCATCTCCCCCTCCCCAGTCGATGCTAGATGTGGTATAAGCCAGGTTCAGAAAAGCCCTCACCCTGTAGATAATGCCGTGAGCCTCTTTAGCGTCTTCCTCCAAGTATCGCACAGCTTTGAGCTGACATGAAATATAGGTTCCCAGCAGCCTCGTGAGCCTGGAAAGCCTCAGTGTTGTGGCCCTGGAGGTGAAGTGACTTGCCCAGTGTCCCACAGCATGTCAGGAAAAGAACTGGCCATACAGCCAAGCGTGCTGAGTCTCTGTCTAGGCCCTGGGCAACACTCCTTCCCTACCTCATTTGCTGTCATCCACCACTCGGTTAGGGGAACCTAGTTCACAAGTATATCCACTCCTTTCTTCATTCAGCGACAGTCCCAATCACACAATGGTTTCTGGCAGCATTTTGCTTGGCAACCCCGTTAAGTTTGCTACTCAGGGTCACCCAGCAGCTTCTTATCACTCCCCAAGTGTCCCCCTGTCTGAAGGAAACGTGTGTCTTGTCACTGCCACCTCCCCAGTGCACCGAGGAGACAGTGCCTGGGATGCAACTGACTGCATTTGTGATCGTATTTCGGTGTCTCCCACCTTCCTGTTTCATATGCCCTCTCAGTGCCTGCCACTCCTCCCTTGCTAGTGCCAGCTGTCAACATCTGCATGCAAGGGCCAACCCAAGACACCCTGGGTTGTGTTCCTGTCCAGGGATCAAGTTCCCATCAGAGCTGCTGTGATCCTGGGTAGCTGCTGTTCAACACGATAGTCCTGGATGGTCTGGCACCGGTCCAAAGGAAAGCCTACCCTCTTGTTCTCTTTCTTGGTGTGTTCCCAGGAGACAAGAGTAACTGTTTACTCCAACCTGGAGAAAGTCTTGCAGGGGGACACAAAGGGCCTGGATAGGAGCCTTGTCAGAAGGATCATTCACCTGGCCTCCACAGACATGGGGCCCAGGTGAGTGAGCTCTGCCCAGTTGCTCCTCACAGAACCTTAGCCTATGCTTGGTTTGTTTGGTCCAGTGCAGCTTGAGCCTATGGTGTGTCTCCTGCATGGACCCTGGTTAGACGTTGCAGCCTTGCTCAAGACACATCTCCTCCAGATGTTTCTGGACAGGTCACTGTGGGGTTTCTCTGACAGCTTCAAAGCCCCTTTGTGCTGCTCCCCCAGCACGGCTGCCTGGGGAGGCCACAGCAGGCAGCCCAGCACAGCCACACTCCTGAGTGTCAGGGATCAAGGTGGACAGGGATGTCTCTAACAGCACAATGTGTCCTCCCATCCCTTCTGCAGCACTGAGGTCTGAGCCCTTTCTTGTGCGGACGCTCAGCAAACTGTGTTTTGTGCTGAGGCTGGTGGAGACCAAGATGAAGCAGGCGCTGCGTGGAGATGAGTGCGAGTCCCTCCTGCAGGTGTCCCAGTGCTAACACCGAGCCTGGGCCCCACTGGAGTGTCCCCACTGGTCAGGGGGCCTCCGCTGCACCTCCTGGGCCTCATCCACCCACTAGTGGAGAACGATCCCCTCCTCGGGCTGGTTGGAAGCTCTGAGCAGCAAGCAGGATTGGGCCCTCTATGGCTCTTGCAGAGTATTTCCCAGGAGCCGTCACCAAGGCCCTGAAGCTCTTGGACCAGGGGCAAATGGAGTAGATTGAATCCTAGTTGTAGTCTCTGGTGCCTGCTCCACCTGTCCCAACTTCTCCATCTGCCCCCAGCAGCACGGGGGCTGCCGGGACATTGTCATGACCACCAGGCCTGCGTGTCCTGCTGCTACTTCCTCACTCCAGTGTTCCTGTGCAGATGTCTTGTCTTTGCTCCCCCTGTGCAGTGGTGCAAGGCTTTGCTCACGCTCCCAACATGAAATTCCAGGTCAGGGATGAGATCCCGTTCCTCATCAATCGGGACTACCATTTCTATCTGCTCCCTTTTTTTAATCTCATGAGCAGCAGCTGGCTGAGCAGCGAGGACCC